AGGCAGGCTAGCATTTAACTTGCTACATATGTATGTAAGAGATGTTGTTTCTTTCATGATGTATACCATGTTATATATAATATCAAATAAAGAAATGATGCTTACCTATGAGAGGAAATCCCTCCCAAAAAAATTTTTTTATTGAATAATAAAAAAAAAGGTATAAAGAATCAAAAATATATAGTCACTTATTAACAAAAAGTCCAAAAGTATTGCAAGATATCAGAAGGAATTGATTGATATAGTCAAAGAATCAAGAGTCCATTTGGTTGAAGAAAGTAAAACTAATCCAGAAAATAACAATAAGAGAAGAAGAAATGTATATAAATAAATTAGTATTTTGATGAAGTATTTTTAATAAATGATTTTATGTTAAATAATTAATTTATTACTAATTATTTTATAATTAAAAGATTTATTGGAAAATTTGAATAAACATTCAAAGTTGATTCAATTATTTTAATTAACTCATAAATAAAACTATAGTAAATTTTATTGTTACAATATAACATTATCAAAAAACTTGCCAAGTTGAGCTTATAAATCAAAAGATGAAGAGCAAGAAATAAAATAAAATAAAAAAGATAAACAATTAGTAAAAAAGCATAAAAAATGAAGGATATTTGATTATGAGAAATCACTTATGTATTTAGAAAATGAGAAGTATCAAACTAGAGAAAGTATACGAATAGGTGAAATTCAGGAGCAATATTAAAGGAGAAAATTAAAGAAAAATCACAAAAAATACAAAAAGTACAAAAAAGTATTCCAAAGTAAAGGAAATTTAGTATTATAAAATCTTTGAGAGTTACAAGGGCTATAGTAAAATTAGCAAAAGAAAAAGACAATTATGAGTATAAAGATTTGAATAAAGAGATAAAGGAAGAATTTAGTGAATAATAAATAAACAATTATTAAATAATTAATTAGTAAATATTTAGCAAAAAATAAGCAAATAATTAAAAAATAACTAGTAAATAATTATTTTAAATTATATATTTTATATATTTTTAATAAATTAATTAAATTTTGTCAAATATTATTATAAATGCAATTTTTTTATTGAAAATATATAATTTGATTTTACCAAAGTATATAATGTCAAATAATTTTGTCAATTTTATAGTTAAATAATAAAAATTTATTTCAAATATTATAGTTTTTATTACAGAATATTATAACTTTATTGTCAAATATTTTTTAACTAGAAATTTTTTTTTGTCAAATGATTTTATTACCAAATAATTTTTTTTTTGCTAAATATTATATTTTTTTTTTCAAATCATTATATATTTTTTAAGTGTTAAATGGTATAAATTGGACAAAGCAATAAAATTTTAGTATAAACTTTTATTGATAAATTGAATTTAATTGGCTGTAATTTGGTAATAAAATAACTTAATTTGGACTAGTATTGGCAAGTACTAAAAAAAAAAGTTTTTTAATAAAAAAAATTCTCTATTAATAAAGTAACTTTTCTTTATTGCCTTCTTATTTCTTCTTATTTTCTTTCTATTTACTTTTATAATGATACTATTATTTATATTACTAACTAGTAAACTATAGAACTATATCATTATAACTTATAAACTTTATTTATTATAATAAATTTTAAAATTATAAGCAAATTTATAATATTTAAAGAATTGAATAAAAAAAAACTTTATTATTATTATTTATTATTTTTTTAATAATTTTTTATAATTCAATAATTTCAACAATATATAAACAATATGAAAATTTAATAATTTATATAACATTTTATATATAGATAATATTTTATTAATAACTTAATTCTTATAAAAAATTATTAATATATTTTGTTTATTTTTTAAAATAAATAGTATTAAATAAAACTATACATATAATTATATTATTGATTACTATCATATATGGTAATACTATTTTAATTAATTTATTATATTTTTAATAGTAATTTAGTTTTTGATTATATTGAAATTCTTGAATAATAATTGGCTTAAATTTGAATTGATTGATTTGTATATGGAAAAAAATATAAACAAGATATGTAAATTCCATATTTTTCATTTTGTATAACTTATATCTAATAATATAATTAATTATAGTAGAAAAAGCAAGGTAACGAAATATACTTTTTGACAAAAAAAGTAATTTAATACTTTTCTTTCTTTTTTTAAACTAGTTTTGTTTTTCTTCAAAATTAAAGAAAATTCTTATTTCAATTTAATAATAAGTTAGCTTTACTGTTAATTGAAAAAAGGGTTTTGAAATTATTCATTAATTAAATAAAATCATAAATTTTTAAAGCATTAATTAAAAGAAAAATTATTAATTAAAATATTAATTCTTTTTAAAGATTAAAAGTCTTTAAATATAAAGTTTCAAGAAATACACTTCTGAAAATACTTTTAAATATTTTTGGTTAACAATAGAATAGTGAAAATTAAATGGTTATCTAACTGCAAATAGTTTAATTAGATAGTAGTTAAGAAGAGTTTTTGTTTTACCAATGTAAACTTTTTTTTTTATTTTTACTTTCTCAAAAAATAAAAAATTTTATTTTTATAGGACCACAGTGATTATATAAGGGTGATAATCCTAAGTGAAAACTGATTATAATGTTTTAAACTAGTAGAATATTTTCAAAGATTATAGGCTTAAGACAGATATATTGTATAGCAATATAAAATTTAGTTTTATTATAATATTTCTAATATAAATATATAAATATTTTTTGACAAATAAAATTAATAAACTAATGATATGCAGTCTGATTTGAAATAAAAAAAATAATAAATAATAATAATCATTATATTATTTAATTTTTCTTAATAAGAACTTTTTAATAATATATTTTTTATTCAAATAAAATTAACAATCAATTTATTAAAAAAAATAAATTTTTTCAAATTATAAATATAGTATATAAACCATAAGAATTAGCAAATATAAATTATAATAATTAATAACAATTTTTAAAAGTATTATATAACAATAAATTTTTATATTAAGTTTATTGATAAGTAAAAATAAAATTCATAAAAATCAGATTAAACTATGTAATTGGAATTATAATAGAATTGATCAAAATTAAGATAGATCAATAATTAGATGAGAGGTGGTAATAGCTCATATAATAAATTAAAACTATTTAATTTCTGTTTATTTTCTTATAGCAAAAGAATAAAATATCAAGATATCTATTTTATTTAAAGTGATTTGATATTTTCTTTTTTTTCTTTTGTATTGGAGAGTTTTTTTTCAATATCAAAAAAAAAGATTTTATTTAAATTCCATAATAAACTTTTTTTTGTTAATTATCTTTAAAAAATATTTAAGCAAAAAGATCATATACTATCAAAAATATAATATTACTGTATAAGACTACTTACTTAGATAAGCAATAAATCTTGTTATAAATATACTGTATTTTGAACATTCTTAGTTAATATTGGAACAGTAGAAATTAAATAGCTTACCTAGTTATAGGTGGTGATAAAGAATTTATTTTCCCTTATTGTTAATAAATCATTGTTTTGTTTAATTTCCAGGGAAATTTGCATGGAAAACGGTTCAAGAGACAACATCATTAATATTACAAATAATTAATCAAAGAGTGTGAAGAATTAGGCGTGTTCGTATAACATATAATAATGTTAATTATATGAATTTTAATTATATTTTTTTATATTCAAGAAAAATATGTTCATGATTTTAATAATATTCGACAACAACTTGGAGAGTGATATCACAACACGAGAAAATCGAAAATTCAACAACAGAATTACAAATGATAAATATTATAATAATATTTATTTTGAATGTTAATAAATTATTATGATAATATTGTTTTGAATATTAAATTATTAATGTAAAAATATTGTTCAGGTATGCTATCTATCGTTCACCTAAATCACATAATTCGGTCCATTCTTTCGGAGGGTGCATTTTTAAGATTTCGTCTGGAAGTGTAACCAACTGCATCAAAAGACCAGATTCCAAATGCCACTATAAAAGATAAAAAAGTTTTAAAATCAGAATTGTATTCATTTTTCATACGTAACCAAAAAATATGTTACATACCTCGTAAAAAAAAAATGAATGAAAGGAAGGAAAGGAAAAAAAAAATGTTAGTGAATTTATCAAAAAGTATATATACTGTATATATTTAACAAAAACGGAATGAAACGATAGCTTATCATGTGACAGTGTATTCCCCAAACTCCGGGATTGTCGGAAACAAATCTGATGGCAATCCACCTAAAAAAAATTACATTCGCCTGATTAGTCTGTTTTTATTTTGAAAGAAACGCGAAAATTTTTTTTACCCTAAGCCAGGTATTGTTGCAGTATCACGCTTGATCGGATTATGTGTATTCAAATCATCTTCATTAACTTTAGTTCCATTTCCGGTTCCAAGTACCCAGAATTGGTATCCATGCTAAGTTTTTAGAAAAAAAGTTAATTTTTTTAAATCATTTATGCCGACCAAATTAATTTACATACAATGTGAAACGGATGTTCGTCATCGTCAGTGTCTAGAAAAAATATATTTGTTAATAAAATCATAAAATTTTCAAAGTCCTTATGCAATTGATAGTTAATTATACTTACTGATAAAGTAAATATCAACTACTTCTCCATCTTTATCAAAAACATAAGCATTTGCACTACGGTCGTAAGATTGTTTATGTTTAAAGATTTTATCTAAAGTCGGGAAATTTATATCGGGTATATAAGTAGATCCACCGAGGAAAGCTTTAACAACTCCTGTTTTGTTCTCATGAAAAGCAATACTGAGTTCCAATTTTTTCGTTGATTCGGGAATCTTTTCTTCCTTAAGTGGTTGTAGGGTCTTGTGATCAAGATCAACACATTCTGCCACGGAATCTGACCATGGATTATCTTTTGGCTCAGGATTGTCGGGGGCACCTTCATAATGTACTATAGCTTTAATAGTAGGAAGACTAGCTGCAGCCTCTGGCATGCAGTTCTTTTGGAATTCAGAACGCATTACATAATTATCGACAGGTTGGTTTGCGGTAACAATAACAGAATATCTTTGAGCGACATTGATGGGAAGACGATGGATTTTATTTGGTTTAGTATATGAACCGTCTGCTTCTATCACTTCCATTTCATGATTATCAATGGAAAATAAGAATGATGAAAAGCCGCTAGAAAAATAAAAGTTTTCGTCAATTTTAATTTCTGAATTGCATAATACGATGATATAGATTACCTGGTATTAATGATACGAAGGCGATATTTTTTATTTTGAACAAATTCAAATTTAGCAAGACCGGCATTGTCCACACATTTAGAACCCGACGGGGCCTTGGAGCAATCGAAATTATGTTTTCCATTGATCAAACCGTTATTGGGAACTGTAGGTGTAGGAATCGTCTAATTAGCATCACGCGGTTATACCTTTGTACTAATATCAATCTTTCTTACCTGGCTATTATAATATAACGAGAATGAATTAATATGAATTTAAGTTCGAAATAAGCTTCAAAACATTAACGCATCTTTGATATCATCTTTAAATTATCGTCATATTAAATTTACCTCTACTCCGTGACTTTCTGGAGTTAAGAACTGTTTTAATAAAACCTGCGCATTGGTGTGATAATAATCATTCAACATGACAATAATTTCCTCATCATATTCCGATTTAAACGGATCATCAGGATCGTGAATAACTAATAAATTAAATTAAATAAAGAAATTAGATTACAAAAAAAAGAGTCGATTTTAAATTAAATAATAAAATAACTTACTTAGCGGACCAAAAGCTCCATCAACATATTGCAGCGTTTCATGCGCATGACTAAAGAAATATTATGGATAGACGGTGAGCACATGAGTTCAAATGATTTATTTTTGGGGGTGTCTCACAATACTTACTACCAATGAGTGCCGGCTTCTTCGGGAACTGTGAAATTGTAGGTGAATGAAAAATTGTCTGGTATAACGCATTGAGCCTGATGGTGTACGCGTCAATCGATTATTGGTCAATATTGAAAGAATAAAATTATATGAATTGATTTTTTCTATAAACTCACCATCCATGGTACTCCATCGAACCTATATAATCGATTGTGAAATTAGTATGTATGATCTTTGTAAAATTCAATTCCGGTAAAAAAAAAAAAAATCTCATACCAAGGAGTCCCTCTTTGAAGCATCCCATGTCCATGAATAGCTAATATTATATTTTGTAATGCGCACTTAAAAATCACGTACAACACATAAAACATAGGAAAACATTCGTTGCAAATTACCTGTTGGCTCTCCCAATTTGTTATGAATATTCAATACAATACGATCTCCTTTGTTAGCTTCTAGAACTGGTCCAGGATATTGACCATTAATGGTTGATAATTGACGAGTAAATCCATCTGGAGCCAAAGTAACTTTTTCTATAGTGAGATCATAAACATTTGTTTTTGGTATATACCCTCGCTTCAAAATTGGCGTGGGCGAGACTACTGCTGTCCAAAAAATAATATAAAGGAAAAAGGTCCCATAAAAAATCATCATAATATTATTATTAATTTAAATGCGTCTGATTAATCAGAACCCAGGGCTATCTTGACAGTATTTTATACCTTTCATTATCATATGTTCTATGAATGAGCTTGTTTCTTTCGTTATTTATCATTCTAGAATGAAGCAAGTCGCTCATAAATAATTTAAAAGATTGACGCTTTTTTTAAAATTGCCTATAAGGCGGCTATTTATCATACGTTTTCTTGTGAAATTCTTTTCTTTTTTTTGATATAATAATACTAAATTGTGGGGGTTATTCGGGGAGGAATCGATCGAAAGTCCTATCATTATTAAAATCGCGATCAGTTTCGGCTAATTTTAATTAATTTCAATTAGTGACTTTTAAATAACTTATTTAGTGCAATTTAGTTAAGTCACGCAAAACTTTTACCGTTTATTGAACAACAAGTTTTCGTACTTCGGAAGCCGGAGGGATTTCGTGCTACATGATACGGCCTTTAAATACAGTAAATGAGTTTTTTTTATTACAGCAATTTGGCGATACCTAATTTAGAGATTGGAACAGGCGGATGTGATCGACGGATATCCGTGATCGGATATAGATCATAATATGGAAAAAATATAGTATGACTTATAATTTTTTTTAAAAATAGATTTTACTATAACTATTTTTTTTGGGGGGGTTTCCCCAGTAGGTAAACATCATTTCTTTATTTTGATTTGTATATAACAAGGTATACATCGTTGAAAGAAACAACATCTCTCTTATTATTTCAGA